GCTCTTGTATGTATGTGTGTGTGTGTGCGTGCGTGCGTGCGTGCGTGCGTGCGTGCGTGCTTGCGTGCGTGCGTGCGTGCGTGCGTGCGTGTATGTATGTATGTTAATGAAAGGCTTCGTCAGTTTTGATCCAAATAGCGCCAAATTCACAGAAGAGATCGATGAATAGACGGGACGGGTTCTAAACTTTACTCGGTTGAAAACGGTAAAAAGGGCTTAAAAAAGACAAAAAAATGGTAAAGATTTGCCTGAAAATAGGGGGCGCTATATCTTTGCCTTGCTAATATTTCGCCCTCTGTCAACGTTGTGCTGTAATATTTCGCCGTCTGTCAACGTTGTGCTGCATGCACAGACATTTTTGTAAGCCCAATAATGTAGGTAGAAATAATTAGCATGTAATAATGAAGTTAAATGTCAATGTCAAGGTCAATCTCTTCTCTTATCTCTCTGGGTATTGAACAGTCGGTACCACATGCATCACAGTCACTAAGCCCGCACTTAGCGCGGGGTTCCAGCTAGTTATTATAAATGAGCATAATTAGGCCTAGATGCTATAGACATGCTATAGTATAGTACAAACAGTGTGAGTGTCGTTTAGATATCAAATCAATACAATCGGGTATGAATAAAATGAAAATGTTTTTTTTAATACACTACTGTCACTAGCTCCTGATACAATGCATGCCATTTGACATCAATATTGAAAATAATCCAAACTGATGCACGTTACACAACCTACTTAGTACTAGTACTACTACTAGAACTGTGTTGTCAATTCACTTTATTGAATGTGTTACCATATCTGTAAATGACATAGTGTCACTCATCTCATGATCTGCTGCACACTGACCAACTGCACACTCTGCAACATTCTCTCAGACGTATGCGGTTTTGGCTGCCAAGATGGCATAGGCACCCTGGTTATAAGGAGTCCCAATGAGTGTCAGTTTCTGCCACTCCTCATGTTAATGACAGGGCTATACATCCATGTAAGTAACAAGAATATTAATACATTCTGTGACACTTCACCAATACAACTTTAAAAAAATATAAATCTACACGAACCTGCCAGTGTAATGTGAACATATTTAATTGGCAGCTCTTAAATGCAAAACCATGACAGCGGTGATAAGAAAATATATACAAAATGGTGGCATTTTTAATTAAATTTACTGATCCATAGTAATTGTATCGGGAGTGCACAATTGGAATGTAATTGATTTTTGGTGTATAGTTGGTTTTATGAAGCTGTGGGTACGGCTCACTTTGGGCATCTTCAAATTTGAACCTAGTCTTCAACCTCATATGAATTAGATCATGAATGATGGTCGTTCTTACTCATGCTTACCCATACACTCAACGTGTCTTTTACCCTGCTTCGTTGTAGATCCACGCTCGGAATTACACTCTATCCAGCATGGTGGCCATACGATCTTAATCTGCCAAGAAAATCTTTGTCTAGCCATGTTGAAAGATGCAAGCCCTCTGGTGTTGAGCTGAAGTGACCTTTAACCTGCAACTTTTACGGCCAAGCGCGCAGTTGCAGAGCCGAATTGACGACGTCCATCCCGCGGCGCCATAGAAGAATTGCAGGGCTCCAAGGTTGAAACAAGAATCTTGATCCTTGATCCGGCAGCAGCGAAGAAGAACTGCTGCCGCAGGGCACCAAGGTCGAGCCTTGATCCCGCAATAGCAAAGAAGAACCGCGTGGCTTTACTTTGAAACCGCCGACCTTGATAGTCGACCCGGCAGCGGCGAGGATTCTGCGACGCAATGCTGAAGCACGTGAGCCCGCTGCTGCAGACGCTGCTCGGCACGCTGCTGACGTGGGGCGTGACGGCGGCCGGCGCCGCGCTCGTCTTCGGCGTGCACGCGCGCAGCCGCCGCCTCCTCGACGCCAGCCTCGGCTTCGCCGCCGGCGTTATGCTCGCCGCCAGCTACTGGTCGCTGCTCGAGCCTGCGATCGAGCTGGCGCGCAACTCGCATGCGTACGGCGAGTGGGCGTTCGCGCCCGTCGCCGTCGGTTTTGCACTCGGCGCCGCGTTCGTCTGCTACGCCGACGCGCTGCTGCCGCACCTCGGCACGTTCGAGGACGCACTCGGACGCGACGCGGCGACTGCCGCGGCGACGGACGGCCCCATCGGCGGCGAGTCGGCGGCACGTCGGCGACGGAGACCCGCGGAAGACAACGATGATGGCGGCAACGGAGGGGGAGTCGCGGACGAGGGTCGCAGCGGCGACAGCGGCGACGGCGGCGCCAGCTGGCGGCGCATCCTGCTGCTCATCATCGCCATCACAGTGCACAACATCCCCGAGGGCCTCGCGGTCGGCGTCGCCTTCGCCGCCGTCGGCTCGACCCCGGCGGCAACCTTCGAGAGCGCGCGCAATCTCGCCATCGGCGTCGCGCTGCAGAACTTCCCCGAGGGGCTCGCCGTCAGCCTGCCACTGCGGGGCGCCGGCGTTTCGGCCGCGCGAAGCTTCTGGTATGGCCAGCTGTCGGGCATGGTGGAGCCGGCGGCGGGCCTGCTGGGGGCCCTGGCGGTGACGGTGGCGCGGCCCGCGCTGCCGTACGCGCTCGCGTTTGCTGCCGGAGCGATGGTGTTTGTCGTCATCGACGACATCGTCCCCGAAGCGCAGACTCATGGCAACGGCCGGCTCGCGTCGGTCGCCGCGGCCGTCGGCTTCATCATCATGATGGCGATGGACGTCGGTCTCGGGTAACGAGCGATGACCGCTGGTCTCCTTCCGCTTACAAGTCACTGCTGGTATCTGTTAGCAATGTGACCACTGGTCTGTGTTAATAAATGACCACTGGTTTCTGTTAACAAGTGACCACTGGTCTTTGTTAACAAGTGACCACTGGTCTATGTTAACAAGTGACCACTGTGCTATGTTAACAAGTGACCACTGGGCTATGTTATCAAGTGACCACTGGGCTATGTTAACAATGTGATCTATGTGATTTATCGATGTGTCTATGTGACTGTCTGGGGAAAGTTTTTTTTAGGTGTGGAGACTCTTTGGCGGGCTTCTCCAGGGAATCTTTAATAGTGCATTCAATTTGCTTCCCCAAGTTAACCTGGGTCTACTCGGGCCAGCCCCAAATACGTTCGATTTGCTTCCCCAAGTTAACCTGGGTCTACTCGGGCCAGCCCCAAATACGTTCGATTTGGCAGTCACGTGGTATTTTTTCGTTACCCGGGTCAACCCGGGTGAGAACGAAGTGAGCGGCTCGCCGAGGTGCTCACTTGGGGGGGGGGCTTGGGGAAGTATCCCACAATCCATTGCAACGACACCATGCATGGCGACGATATCAGTGCGGGATCAGTGCTGCATGAATGTAGCAGTGTGAATGACTGCGTGTGTTTGCTCAAGGACGGTGAGTGGATAGGATGATGTTTATTACTGGACATGCTCTCTATCCTTGAGCCGCTCATTCTTAGATTTCATTAATAATAAGATTGCAATTGCTATTCTTTTTTTCTTGTCACTGGCATCCATGATAATTAACCTGGGTTAACCCAAAAACCGTTCGTTTATCTTCCCTAACCCAGATGCGTTCGATTTCGTACCCAGGTTAACCCAGGTGGCTCTGGGGAAGCAAATCGAACGCACTATAAGTGTGGTGACTGTTTGGGGGTAGAAGTCTCTTGAGTATGGTCTCAGAAGATTTTGCATATTTGCACATAGGCCTATGGGTTTATTATGACTAACAGATGGTGTTTTTTGTCTGATAGAGCAATATTGATCAGCAAATGGGCCGATCTATCTGGCCTGAATGGACATGCAGCATTACTGCCACACTCATTCCTCAGTGAAGAGATAATATTGGGATTTATCTTAGGTTAATCTTAAGATTATCTCTGATAAACATGCACACAAAAGTGTTTAGCCTTTTGGCCAAAAAAATTATTAAACGTCTAAAGGTGGGTTTCCACTACCGACTTCGTGTTGACGAATTGGACCAACTTCCCAACTATACAACCAACAATCAGCAGTGTAAACGCAAAAGTTGTGCGACCAACCAATCTATAGCAACTAATTGGGAGATTAGAACATGTTCTATCTTCGCCAACTCGGAGTTGGCAAATTGGGAAGTTGGTCAAACTCGCCAATTCGCCAACATAAAGTCGGTAGTGTAAACCCAGCTTTACAGACACTTCTTGATAGATCTAGATAATTCTTTCATAGTTCTGTGTGTAGAATAATAATTTTGAGTACCTGTTAATTGATTATGTAATTGTAATCAGTGCAATAGCATTGGACATTTTTCTTGGAGGTGATTATTAACATTCCTATAATTTCGTTTGTTTGTCAGGCAATTTATTGGCTAAAAGAAGGCAAATGATGGCCATGGTATGTTAGCTGTTCAATTTATGTTTTATAATATCACGTTTATATAATATATGTGAATGGTGGATGCATATGTGTAGTATTTATTACATCTTGTTTGTCAACAATAGTTCAGTTGTGCTGAATTTTGATATTGATCTCGTTTTGCTTCTGTTAAAAATGAAAAGACATTGCACAGTTTACGGTTGTTGAGTATACAAGATAGTTTGTAATTCTACGTTCTACAGGCAGTATTTTTATTTCTTATTAATTATGAAGTGCTACAGAGTACTCACATTCACAATGAAAGTTGATCGTTAAAGTGATTACGTCACCGTAAATAGTAAAAATTAAAAAAAATATTTCAACTTTTTCACAAAATATAGGTAATTCTGTTTACTTTTTATGGTTAAATTGCTGCATTATACTTCCTGTTTTACTATATTGTTCGATGTGAACATACATTCGTGACTCATACATAGCCCATAGCAAGCAATTAATGTTGAGAACATTAATATCAAATCGTCCAGGTTTTTTGGATTTTTAACTAGTTGAGAAACAATCTTATCAGGTAAGAATTTGACGATACGTTTAGTCCCGTTAGTTCTTACTTTTAATGTAAAAAATGGCCTTTTTTCTTTTACAAATTTTACCATAGAAAATTCGTGACGTAATCACTTTAAGTAACCGATAACACATGGGAATCCCTAATTGAAACGTGCAATCTTAAGTAAATAAGTAAATAACACTGCTATAATGACTAACTTAAAGGTAATCATAATATGGACATCTTAAAATGAAACTATATCCATCATAACTACTAATGATCTATTAGGGATGTATAGGATGTAGCATAGAATTAAGGGATGTTGTTCAAGTTCGTGTCAATATTCAAGGTGTATTTATTACAGTTTTGTAATGTGGTTTTGCTTTAGAAATCGCATCTGGTACATGCAAGGAGAAATACTGTGATTTTCTGTTTATCCTCTGATTTTTCTTATGCCTTTGAAGTCGTGCTTCACAGCGGTTCATAGAGCCACTGTAGGGGCTAATAAGCATAATTTGCCGGTGTGGTCTTTGACGGAGCTCAAATAACTCGTACACACGAAACCGTGCCTTCTTGTTATGGTGCCACAATTCGTTTATTATATTTACAGGGACGTTGTACGTATAAGATCGCACGAAGCTGTGCAATATTTCTGCAGGCTTCTATGTCTAGGAAGAATGCTAGTTATGTATGCGTACATGCGATGCATATATGTGGTCAGGAGTGAATAATAATAGATCTATTATTATTATTATATCTATTATTATGCATATATATCTAATATTATTCACTCCTGATGTGGTAGTAGACGATCCGTGATTAGCGTGGTTTGGTGTGCCTTGTTTAATCACTTTTGGTTCTCGCGCCCATTGTTACGCATCACGTTCGTTGCAATATCGTATGTCAGTTGAACATTATTTCTGTTTATTCCCAGTTATGTGCATGTTGAGCTAATGTGATAAACGCATTTGCGGTAAAGGAGTAATGAGTCATAGAATAACGACCGGTATATTTCTAATGAATACACATACGTATATATGCACATATACATTGTATAATTAAACAATGTTATCAGGAGTAAATAAAAACAAACACTGTGACTTAGTTTTTATTCACTTCTGATGTTATGGTGATATGTTCGTAACTTCGTAGTGATACCGTTGTACACGAATTGTTGTTTGCGAGAGCAGCGGTCTAGTACTACCCTGTGTAATATTTTACGTGGACGAATACATTAGCATAAAGCGTGTCCGTTATGTGCGTGTGCGTGCGTGTGTGCGTTCGTACGTGTGTGCGTTCGTGTGTGCGTGCGTGTCCGTGTGCGTTCGTGCCCGTGCGCGTGCGTGCCCGTGCGCGTGTGCTTGGTGTGGGTTTTAGTGGCAAAACTAGATGCGGGTGTGTATAAACATACGACTTTCTTATTGATTTCATTCCACGCACAAAATCAGAGTGAACGTGCAAAACATGTATACATAGTTAATTGTTAGATTGAACATCTGTCGCTGTGATGTCTGCTGTTTGCAGTCTGATATTTGCATGTAGTTACATGCATTTTGAATACATGCATGCATGTTTGCATGCATGTTGTATGTTTGCACGTGGAAATTGATATTGATATATTAAAGGCGGCACCTGTGAAATGGTTGGTCGAATAGGTCTCATAAATACTTGTGTGCAAATGATTGATTACGTTCGGTGAAAATGTTACGTTTAGGGAAAATGGGCAGCAAACAATATATATTTTCTCAATGCAGTTGTTGGTTATGATAGTGTTGCATGTAGAATTACATGGCCGTTCAATATATATATATAATATGAGGTGCAAGAAGTTTATGAAGGTATAAATACGGACACTTACAGTATTATATTGATTATATATGTAATTTGAAGTATATCGGGTTTCATTCATGCACACGCCCGACGGTGTTAGTAATAAAAATGGAAATGGATTTTTTTCAACAACCAAAACTGGCCAGCTGTGCAGTCTATATTATATTATCTAACTATAGTAATATACATATTTATATATAATACATTACACATAATAATAACATACATTATAATATATAACATTCCTATTAAGTTAGTGTTATTTTATAATTTGGAATATAGGAAGTAAGAATGCATTTAATGCTCTTAAACTGTAAATTAATTTTATTAAAGATAATGTAATTTAAGATATTACTAATATTCTGGTAGTATCTTAACATCAAAATCATACGTAAAAGAAAAATGCATTTATATGCGAGATGACAAACGTATGTATAAGAATCGCATCAATAAATAAATGTATATACGTACACGCGCGCGCGTGCACCGCGCACGCACGCACTCACACACACACACACACATGCTAGCGATCGAACATCGGAGTCCGTATACTAATTCGCACCGGGATAGAAATGTGAAATAATAACTAGAAAGGGCAGTTGTCGCCAACTACATGTATCCCCGTGTTCTCCCCAAGATGTGTAAGTATACGAAGTTTGGTCGCGCTAGGTCAATTAGGGGCCGAGTTATAGAGCGGAAGGGAAATATGATGAAGGTCAAGGTAAAGGTCAAATCCAAGGTTGCAGTGACCTGGTTTCGGTACGCGACACACCTCCCCAAGATGTGTAAGTATACCAAGTTTGGTCGCACTAGGTCAATTAGGGGCCGAGTTATAGAGTGGAAGGGAAATATGATTAAGGTCAAGGTAAAGGTCAAATAAAGGTTGTAGTGACCTGTTTTGGTACGCGACACACCTCCCCAGGATGTGTAATTATACCAAGTTTGGTAGCGCTAGGTCAATTAGGGTCCGAGTTATAGAGCGGAAGGGAAATATGATCAAGGTCAGTAAAGGTCAAATAAAGGTCGTAGTGACCTGGTTTTGATAGCGCTAGGTCAATTAGGGGCCAAGTTATAGAGCGGAAGGGAAATATGATCAAGGTCAAGGTAAAGGTCAAATAAAAGTCGCAGTGACCCGGTTTTGGTACGCTGCCCACCTTTCTCCCCAAGATGTGTAAGTAGAACAAGTTTGGTCACCGCTAGGTCAATTAGGGGTCGAGTTATACAGCGGAAGAGAAAATCTCTCGCGGCGGACCCGGGCGCGCGGCGCGGCCGGCGGCGGCTGTACAGACATGAAACCATAGTATCAATGATAGCCTGGCGGAATAAACACGTACATTCGATGTCACCGTTCGCGACTGTGCCCGTCCACGCAAACCAAGAATCGTTTCACGTATTCTCGCTCG